CGCTTGCTTGCACGGTTGACTGGCGAACTAGCGTTGTCTGGATTCAGCGCTTTGTTCCCAGCTAATCTTTGTAACGCACTACCGTATCAGTCACTGTCCTCTGGCCAATTCCGGTCTGCTCCTCCCGCGCCGCACTTGCCGTACTACACTACAGGACGAGCACTTAATCAACATGCATTGCTTAAACGTCATCGCGTGATCCGTACTCACTACTAACTTATTGTGGGGAAGGCCATTGCGTCTGCGACCACACTCCCGCGGTACCCAAACCCTTCAAAGACAATTCCGATCAGCCCCAACACACACCGCGGAGCGGTCTCTCCCCCACACACATACCTCCCAGGTGTTAACCCTAGGTCCTCCCGTCCCCCGGCTCTTCCGTCCCTTGCCTCTACCATAGCACATACACAGCCTGTACTCGGTATCGGGGCGTCATAGGGCCCCTTTTTGCGGCGTTGGGCACTTGTGGTCCAGGGATGAAGAGCTCCCTGTGGGCCAGGGTCATCTGTGCTCTGATGGGCAGCGTCCTTAGGATAGCCACCCATGCGCGTGGCCAGACCGGGAGGATCAGTACACAATCGGNCCGCTCCTCCGCCACCTTGCGCAGCACTCTTGCCACGGCACTGAACGGGGGGTTAATGTACAGCAGGGGCCGAACAGTTTCCCCTCCGTCCCGGCGTCCCCACCCCGGTGAACCCCAATCCTGGGCGAAAGCGTCTACTCCTTTGACTCCCGGGCACCAGTTGGCCGCAAAGAAACTACCTGGCACCTTCGTGGTGTGCGCGTCCGCGAAAACGTCCAGAGACGGGCTGCGGCCGTGAACGCAAGGGTGCTCCCACAGCTTGGCGTAGACGGTCGGGTTCAGCATCCACTGTGATCCATCTTCGTATTTGCTGAGCGCGTCTGCCTGCTGTTGCTGCTCCCGGCTGCGTGGGTACCACACCACTGAAATATCTGTGTCCGTATCGGCGCAGAGGCGGTGGATCTCCGCCACTATGGGCAGGCAAGCGGCGTTGCCTTTCATTCCAACCATGCAGAATTCCGCCGGTTGGCTGTCCGTCTGGTATTGCACCGTCCGGCCGTACAACAGGTTCGGTGCCTGCTCTCGCAACCAGTGCAAGCTGTACAGCAGCGCCCGCAGTTCTCTTTCTGTGCTGCTAAAGTCATTCCGCTGCAGCCGCTGGGTTTCCTGGGCTTTGAAGGGCACGAGCATGCGGCTGTTGGCACCCAGTTCTTCCCCAGGTAAGAAGGCTGCGAAGGCCCTGTCCGAGGCGTCCCCGACTAGCTCCGTCGTCAGTCGTAGGGCTGGTCCTTTCCGCCAAGTGGCTGTCCCGTTGCGCCT